ATATTCCATTTTGCATTAAGAATATACAGTGTTGAGAAGGTAGGTTAGCTATACAGTATCATCACGGTGATGCCTTCAGTTCTTTGGTGTTTAATTAGCGTGAAGGAGAAGGATCAGGATATGTCCTTATTTTTAACAGGGATATCTAATTGGCAGAACAAAAATGAGTGAAGTTGATGAAAACTATGGACTCCTCACTCCAGCCATCCCATCCTGCTTTCCTATAAATGTAACTGACCTGAGATGAGCACATTTAAGTATTCTTACTTTCCTGACTCTGATTCTCCAGCTCTGTGAGGTGACTACTCATTTACAACTGTCTCGTAATGTCTGGGATTCCAGACTCCCCTGAATAGCACTCTTTTCAAATTACTTTCGATGTCTTAATACTTGTTTACTGTTTCTTTTCATCAAGAGGCGATTTTAAAAGCTAAAAATAAAGCAGCAGCCAATGAACACTATAGTGCTACTTACTGAATAGAGCTAAGAGGAAGTAAGCAACTTGTGACACATTAATAAACATATGATCCCCCGAGAGGAATTACACACTCTCAAAGTAAAGAGTACCATCCACCATCATCAAATTTGCTGCATGACTGCGATAGTGCTATGGCTTTCTGCACTCGGGGAAATAATGTGGAAAAGGGTAAGTGGGGTAAGGAGAATGTTCCTAAAGGACTTCCAGTAAAAATCATCTGGCACATATTTACTCAGCTTCTATTGCATGGAACAGATGAGCTGCAATCTAGGCAAAGTTAAATCATGACTGCTGGTTTCAACATTTATAAAATGGCTACAGACATCAGTTATACATGTATATGGAGAAAACAGTTTTTCATAATTGAGAGTTAACAGTCCATTATCCATCCCAGTGAAGAAATAATATTAACATGAATTTTAAAAAGAACTAGTTTTCTCTGGCAATGGTGACTCTCCAGTACACACAATGTACTGTACAAATGACTCAGAGTTACTTCTTTCAACCTCTTGAGGTTATAGCAAAGGGATCCAAAGCCTAAAGAAGTCTATAATTTGTCCAAGTTCTGTCTAATTAGTGGCAAAAATGGGATTAGAACTCACATCTTCTAACTTCTAATTCATTGGTCTTTTTAAGCTACTGGAGATAACTAGTGCTGGATTAGCACACATAAATACACACACACACATACACATACACACATTTAGCATTGCTTGAAACAAAATAATTATTTTACATTATTTTCCATTCCAAAATAGATATCTTCTGGAGAAAGGCAAAATACGCTCTAACTTACTTGGATTTCTTTGAAAATTTAGGCCCTAAACACCCCCAAATCAAATAAGAACTGAAAGAGAACGAGCAGCACATCTTAAAGAAATTTTATGATTTCTACAGCTCTTTCCACTACATAATTTCTACATTTATATATGTACTGTAAAAGGATTGGCTTCTGAAAGGACTGGCTTAGGGTCCTATATTATTAGGGAGAAAAAACTCTAACCTTAAATCTAGTGCAAATATTGGGAACTAACAAATATTACTGGACATAATCGAGGAGCAAATATATAAGAGAAAAAATAAAATTAAAATCAATCCTGTGAGTACAGTCTCTGGAAGTCAGTACAGTGCACTGAAGTTGTCCACAGGTTTCTTAGTGATGTGCTTCTTTGAAATGGTGAAAGATTCTGAATTGGCATGCATGGAAGCTACCAGAGACTAAAATTTACCTTTTATCTTGAGGTTATCATGCTAAGTGAAATAAGTCAGACAGAAAAAGTTGAGAACCATGATTTCACTCATATGTGAGATATAAAACTGAAAGCAACAAACGAACAAGACGAACAAATAAAAACTCATAGACACAGACAACAGTTTAGTGGTTACCAGAGGGAAAGTGGGGACAGAGGAGGTAGATAACAATGAAGGGGACCAAATATATGGTGACAGAAGGAGATCTGACTTTGGGTGGTGAACACACAATGCAGTATACGGATGATGTATTATTGAATTGTACACTTTAAACCTATATAATTTTACTAACC